ACTACTACTACGACTACGACGGCTACACCAGCTGTCACTGCTGCTGCAGCTGCTGCTCTGTCAGCTGTCTACAGGTACAACGACGGCTGAGCTCCTTCTGAGACTAATGGTGCTCACCCCAGCCGTAATCACGATAACAATAATGGTATGCTGGCCGCAGCTCCATTCCCTGGACTCGCTCGTCTTAAGATAGGGGCCTTTATGCTTAGAGTAGGGTTTGGGGGTATATTATACCATAATTACAGTAAGGAACCCTCAAAATAGTATTGGCAGCGGCCGGCCCCTACAGAGTGTCTGAGAAGGACGCCGTCGTCTGTAACGTGGTCGGCGAGAAAATCACTTGCGTCCTGACTTGTACGACGCAGCCAGCAACGCATCAGCCCAGTCCGACCCCAGTCCTTGCAAGGAGTCGCGAGTGTGTCCGCGGGATCACAAAACCTTAGGAGCTCTGCAGCCAACACGAGAGGATCTGAAGAACGTTGAGACGGGCCTCTCTGTACCAGGCGAGAAGCGTCTGAGGCCAGGAAGCGCAGCACTTCCGGGCCGGCCAGTCCATGGACTCTGGGAGCGTCCTAAGCGAGGGAAAACTCCAGTCATAGAGCTGATCATCAGCACCTCCTCCTCCCCCTCATCCTGCTCCTCCTCCAGCTCTACTCCTCCTCTCATGCGCCTCGTGATGACGATGCTGCCACTGCTGTTTATGATGCTCACGTGGCTACTTGGAATGCTCCTCAACATCATCACGACAATGGACACCACCACGACAACTGGTGCTGCCGATACCGTGACTGTTTGTCTGGCTATTCAAGAAGCGAAAAACACCTGCCAGTTCGGATGTGGTGCGAGTGCCAGCTGGTGACGACACCGTTGCAGGTACCCAATGCTTTGGCCTCCTCCCACAGAGTGTAAATCTCGCCCTGCTGGTACCTGAGCACGGCGTCCCGCCACCCCGTCCCCTTTGCTCCCATCCCCCGTCAAAACAAACTCGAATCACCAACCAACTGTCGCCAGACTTCATCACACTCGAAAGCAAACAAGACCAAAGCTTGATCGCTGCCACCACCTTTGTACCTACATACAGGCTTTCCCCTCGATACATTCATGCACAAAACACGAGCTTTGTAAGAGAGACAGATAGAGAAACAGAGAGAAAGAGAGAGAAAGAGAGCGAGAGAGAGGTACGGACAGAAAAAAAGCAAGAAAGCGTGGATGAAAAAAACACGGGGGTGGAACATGGAGAGAGACAGATGTCAGGAGACACGGCGAGAGAGTTCATCCAAGTGGCATTCGCATCTCTTCCTTGCAGAGGTGATACTTCCAGGTGCTGCCGATCAATGCACACCCTTCTTCCGTCGCACAGTGGCAATGAGGATGATCGGGATAGCCATGTGCACTGCCTCAAAGAGCTTCGAGATGGAGCGAAAGAACCACAGGCTACTGCAGAAACAAGACACGGGTGTTTTAATGACGGGGCACAATTTGCTGCAAGGCATTCGGATTCCGAGGGGGTCGTCTTCCCCTCCACGTTGCACCAGCCGTATTCCTCAGCGTTACTCAACTTCAAGCCCTTTCAAGGCGCCTGAGGTCCAAGTCCGAGGCACGCTCATCTTTGCCTCCGGCATGTAGTCCTCCAGAGACTTGCAGGGATGGAAATCCATCTTGGGTGCCTCTGTGGTTGTGGGTGGTGGGAAAGTGCTGGCAATGGGGATGAAGCTGGTAGTGGAGTTCTTGGGGCTCGGGCTGGCCGTCGTCACGACGGCCGCTCCCATGAAGGCGGTGGCGGTAAAGGCAAAGGGCTCATGCCCCAAGCCCGCGAGTTTGGGCGCAAGGATGGAGAGGAAGCTTCGGGTGGTAATCGTCCTCATGGACGCCGTCACCTCTTCGGGCGTCGCCCCGGCGGGGCAGGGGAAGGTGAAGGTGCAGACCATGTCCAGCGTCGTCGGCGTCGCGTTGCTCACCTCTTTCGGGAAGGGTCCCGTTCCCACGTATGAAAAAACAAGTATTATCCCATGATATACCATAAAATATACCAGAATATACCACAACATCCCATAATATATATATATATATATACCATAACATCCCATAATTTACCAATCTGTACCACCCCCTGGCACCTGGGCCAAAGCGGCCGCGAGATCAAAGCTGACCTGGATCTCCGCAGCAACGAGGCCGAAGCCCACCGATTCTGCCAGGGCCTCCTGTATGGCCTCCTGGACTTTTTTGGGGGGTTTAGGGAGGCTTGAGGCTTGCAGGAGCTTTTTTTTAGGTTCAATTTGGAAAGTTAGTTAGGGTTTGGGGCTTTGGGGTTTGGGGTGTAGGGAGGGTTGAGGGTTTAGGAGCTTCGAGGGCCTTCTTGGAATTCAGTTGGGGTTTAGGGTTGTGGGGTTTTGGGGTTTAGGGGTCTAGGGGTTTTAGGGCTTTAGCAGGGTTAGGGTTTGGGGTTCAGGGTTTCGGGTTTAGGGTTCAGGGTTTGGGGCGTAGAGCTGTTGTTGCCAGTTCTTTTATGACAAGACTGACAAGACGTAACAAGGCCCTTGGGGAAGCTTTGCATGCTTTTGCTTCGGGCTTCTCCGCAGAGCGATCTGCTGTGCGGCTTAGGGTTTAGGGTTTGGGGTTTAGCATTTAGGGCTTGGGGTTTAGGGTTCGGGGTTGGTTTGGGGTTTAGGCAACACTGTTTCCAGCACAAGTCCTGGGCGCGCAACAACTCGTCCTCCGACTTGCCCAAGTACTGCTGGGGATCATAGACGTAGTGAAACTTGCCTTCGATCATCATGGAACCTCATACAACAACGGCTGCAACGATGCACAAAATCGCAACCGGGCGTTTCGCAAAGAGGAGCTTGCTGAAACATGGCAAGATGTACTGCCATGTCAGGTGTTGCTGGAAGCATACAGCAACAGTGGTCACGAAAATGTTTAGAGGGCTTTCCCGACGGATCCGTAGAAACAGCGCCGGATGCCGGGAAGAACCGGCGATGTTGAAACCTTTGCCGCAGCCACCCAGAAATCGTAGAACCTTAAACCCTAATCCCTGATCCCTAAACCCCAAACCCTAAACCCTGATCCCTAAACCCCAAACCCTAATCCCCAAACCCTAAACCCAGGCCAGGCGATCCCTTTTGAGGCCGCTGCCCGATCCATAGAGGCTCTCCTCCCCTGCAGCCGGAAGGCGCGGTTTAGGGCCTTTAACAGAAAACTTATAGGAACCCTTTTGGGTTCCTTTGAAGGAGCCCTTATATAGGAAGTTCCCTTTAAAGGGACCCTTATAATAGGAACCCTTGGGGTGCAGTTTGGCACACAATCATGGTAGGATGTAGCACGCGGACACATGAAAGATACCGTAGCATGTCGCAACATGATGTGCAACTGTCTGGCCGTATGTTACATGCTGCAGGCCCACAACGCGAAAGAGCTCTTGCAAAAAAGGACTGGTCCCGTGCATAACAGCCAGACAAGGCCGTAAAACCAGCATGCAAAACCTGAACATCCTATGCATTTTGCATGTGGCATACTCATACTACATGATACACGCAATCGTGATTACAGGGCACAGGCCGCCTTAAACGGCCTCAATGCGCTCCCGGCTGTCGCGGATGAGAGGGACAAAAAGGAGACACCGGGATTTCAGGATGAACTCCCAACTGCCACAACCAGCGGTTTAGGGTTTAGAGTTTAAGGGTTTCGGGTTTAGGGGTTAGGCACTACTAAGCTACTAATTCTCCGCTCACGAAGCCCGGCCTGTGGAAACAGGCGCTTGTTGCTGACCTCGCTTGAGGGAGCATAAATTTTGACTTGACATGAAAGCTTCATGGCGAACCTGATGACCCTCGCAACTACAGAGACTTGTCTGCATCGCCTTGGGCTTGACATGAGCTTATCTGAGTCTGAATCAACCATCTGCATTTTGAATCTTGCCGGTCGACCCTAAACCTAAACCTCGAAAAAGTTAACTCGGATAGTCAATAGCCTAAACCCACCCTAAACCCCTGAAACCCGCAGAACTCTAAACCCGTTGAAACCCTAAACCCCAAAACGCCACAACAGAGATCCTCCCATCTTCCTGGTCGGTTCACGGGACTTGCGCTGCAGCAAGGCTCCCGCGCGAGCGGCGCAAGCAACATCTCCTGTCTTCAAGCTGTTCAAAGGACTTAGGGTTTGGCTTTTAGGGTTTCGGGCTTTGGGATTCCCGCAAGGGCTCCGGTAAGGATTTATGGCTTGGGTTCCTTTTTGGTGACAAGGGCATCTCTCCTCAAGCTTCATGAATGGGGGGTTTGGGTTGAGATTGCAGTCTGCAAGTTTAGGACAACAGTCCTTTCTGGACTCTTTGGCTTAGGGGGCTTAGGATTCATAGGCGTTTTAAAGCAATACGCTAAAAAAAAACAGAGACCTAGGCTCCTGTGTCACAGACGTCTGCGACCAGGAGCGGCACCAGGCCGACGAAAAGAGAAAGCAAAAGCCTCATAGCCATCCTCAGAAAGGGAATTCCGGGTGGGCCTAAGGCTTAGGGCTTGGGGCTTTGGGCTACAGGGAGGGTTGTCCAGGTCAGGATTTTATACGATTCCTGCTGCAACGGTTTGTTGCGCCACATGACATGAGGGCTTTAAAAAGTTTAGGGCCCTTGGGGACTGAAGGATTTGGGAGCCGAGTAGCAAAGAATGGCGGCGCACGAGGCAGCGGTGAAGGAGCGAAAGTGTGCTTTGATCTTCGAAAACGGCTGAGCGGAAGCAGACAACGAAAGGTTATTACAGAACTAAACGGGATTCTGCATCTGGGCGGTACGACAAGGCATCATAAGGCGTCATCATTGACGTGTCAGAGTACTTCGGGAAACGCGAACACATGCTAGCTTCTCGGCATCCCAAGTGCTGAATCCAATGGTTGTGACCATACATTGCGTCTGATATTCTGCCAGATCCCTAGAGGAGCTCCATAGTTTGACGAAACGTTCCGACACCACTCGCCAAGGAGTTGCGAAGTCTGGGTCTCCGGCTTCTCGTATCCCACTCACATGCAAAAGTACACCAAGCAAACAAAATGTAAATCATGTTCACAATGAAAAAGTCTTGCAAACCGGCAAGGCATGTTTTGAACGCAGAACAATTAAACCTGCGCTTCGAAGCAACCTTTCCGACATTACGCCTGCATTTAGTTTTCTCTTTCGACGTGGTAGTAGGTAGTAGTAGCAGTAGAAGTAGCAGTAGCAGTAGCAGTAGCAGTAGCAGTAGCAGTAGCAGTGGCAGTAGCAGAAGCAGAAGCAGAAGCAGAAGCAGTAGCAGTAGCAGTAGCAGAAGCAGAAGCAGTAGCAGTAGCAGTAGCAGTAGCAGTAGCAATAGCAGTAGCAGTGGCAGTGGCAGAAGCAGAAGCAGTAG